CCACTTGGGGCCTCAGACATGGCGGCTCTCCGTGACAGGTAGTGTGTGCACCTGGACCACCCCGGGGGCTGACTCGCTGTGTGACCCAGGATGAGAAAGTGTCCTGCTGGGCCTCTGTCTTCTCTGCAAACTGGTGGGGGACAGGGAGGGTACCTACCGCACAGGGTGGGGGTGAGAGGAGCAGGAAATGGGTTAAACCATGAGTTATAAACTGTAAAGGGGGGGGTACCTGTCCCCACAACAACAAGTCTGACCTTTATCTCCTCTTGAAAAAGCACCTTTGGCCTGGTTAGAGGCCCTCCTCCTGCCCCATCCCACCACTCACGGCCTCACCCCTCCCTGCACCGACGCCCATTCCTAGAGGACTCGCAGGAAGTCTCCTTCTCTCGAGACCCACTCCCGGCAAAGGGGCCCTTCGAGACCACCCCTGCCCCAACCCCCAGAACCAGCTGCCAGTAAACAGCCACTGCTTTGCACTCAAACTCTACAAGAGACTCTGCCCCCACAAAGTTCACACCTTCCCTTCTGAGGGCCCCGAATCTGGAACAATCTGAGAGCCTCCCTTCCTCTGCACCTCACATCAGAAGCCACAGGAAAACCCCAGAAGGCCCCCTCTGGAGGTGGGGAGACCCGCAGCTTGGTTAGAAACAGACCCTCCCAGAACAGACGGTCCCCGACTCAGTCCCCACAGACGCCTGCACTTCCGGCGAGCTGGTCCCTCTACACTTCCTCTTAGGTCTGCTCACTTCTCGTTTCAGTTATCTTCATTTGCCCCATCCCAGGCAAGGAGACATCATGAACTCACAGACCCAAGGTCCTAGTTACAGGTTCGTTTTTCTTAAATACATTAAAATAAACACCTAGCAAATTTTAAACATGCTCATCTACATATGGGCTAAAACACACACACACACACCCCCCAGAGCCCCGTCTGAGAAAGGCTGGCCTAGTCCCTCTCATGTGGGCCACCCTCGGGTTGTCCACCCGCACATATGCAGCTGACAGCCCACGGCCACGCAGCCATCCAAGCAGAGCCAGCCTGGACTCCAGCCACCCAGACTCTGGCCGCCTGGCCGGGCCGGGCCTCTGCTTTCCTCACCCCTGCAGCTCCCCTCCCCCAAGGGCTGGTCAGAGAGGAAGCGCCTGGGGCCAGCTGTCCTGAACCCCGGGTGGTGACACAGAAACGAGGCACCTGCTTCGCTCTGTGTGCCTGGGTCTGGATGAGTCCATAGAATGTTCCAGAAGGACTTACTCCCACTGGTCCACGTTGGTCCCTGGGGGCCTCGGGTTGGGAGGGCTGGAGGGAAAGGAAGACGATTCCATTTTCCTGAGGCATCTCGGTTCTGTCTCTTGGGCATGTGTCACTTTCAGAGTTTGTTTTTTGGTTTATTTTTCTTTTTAACGTAACAAAGTTCGATTGCCCTTCCCTCGCTAATTGTTACCGTCGAGAAGAACGTACTCGTAAATGTAAAATTACAACCACGAAAAGTGGACATCTGAAGAGTCCAGGGCTGACGGAATTCCAGGTGGAACGCGCCCAGTGAGCACCCCGCCACAGAAATGACCACACCCCTCGTCAGGTTGGGCAAAGCCTGGGACCAGCTGTCCAGGTCCTCTGTCCGGAAGGCCCCCCACCTCCCGCAGCCCAGACCCTGTCCACTCCCGGCCGGCGGGGGAGGCCTGGCCCGCACCCCCCTCGGCCCAGGCCGCCGGGACACAGGGTGCCCCGGCCCCCCCTCCCCACCCCGGCCCTTTACCTGGCTCTCGTCCAGGCCCCCTCGGGGGCAGCCCGGCCCACGCCTGCCCCTCCTCGGCCGGTGTCCGGGCGCACGCATGGGAAGCCTCCCTCGCTGGCTACCTACCGAGAGCGAGTCACATCTGGGACCCACAGCTTCCTGTTCCACAGCGGCCGCTGCACAAAAGCTAAGGCCGAGCCCTGAGCTAGGCGCCTCCGGGCTTGAGGGGGAGGGTGGGGGGGCTCTCCCAGCTGCAGCGGGGCCCTCAACAGAAGTGGGGAGAGGCATCAGGCCAGGCTCCCGGCTCCAGTGACTTCATGGAAATTGGAAGCTTGAAGCTGGAACGACTTTCAAAAAGTGAAAATAAAACAAGCACCCAAACCTCCGTTAGAAGCCCCAAGAAGACGGTTGGAGGCCAGGAGTAAATGCATCTTTGATGAGCACTGAAGGCGAGAGCAGCCCGGCACCGGGCCCCATCCTGGCTCCCCCACTGACGGGCAGGCCCTGAGCCTCGGTTTCCCCACCCACGTGGTCAGGGGGCTTCAGCCAGCTCTGTGAGGTCAAAGGCCTCCAGCCTCATCTGCTGTCCCTCCATTTCGCAGCTGCCCCCAAGCCAAGGCCCCTGCCTGGAGTTGCTATTCCAAGCAGCTCGCGCCCCCAGAGAACCCCAGCAGCCCTGAGCCCCAGGAGGCCAGGAAGCAAGCCCCTTCTGCTTTGCCAGCCCTCAGTTTCCCCATTGGGATCATGTGGTGCTCAGTGGTGAGGCAGCAGGCTAGGAAGGGCCTGGAAGCAGGGAGCGGAGGCCTCCCAAGATAGAGGGGCAAGGCACTCCTGGTCCTCAGGGAGCCTGTTCCAACATGTGACCTGGGGTCCTGCGATCACTTTCTACCTCTTACCCTAACAGCAAAACCTACGGTTTGGTAACAAAGTGGAGAACAGAGCCCAGTTTTCCCAGCTGCCACTCCTGCCTTTCCCAGGCCTCTGTCTCAGCTCCGTCCTCAGGGGAGGCCGTGGCCAGGCTCTTCCCTCCTGACCTGCTGCTCCCCCAGCCCTGGCCACTGGGCACCTGGCCCCCCAGCCCTCACACAGACTTCAAGGTCCTGGCAGGCAGGGTCTGTGCCCACAGGCTGACGAGCCTTATGATCAGCATTCGGACACCGGGCTAGCGTCGAGCACAGCCTCATACAACTGCCCATCGGCCCCATGAGGAAGGTCCTGCTATCCTGCCGCTTCTGCAGAACAGGAAGCTGAGGCTCAGAGAGGCCACTCACTTGCCCAAGCACACACAGCTAAGAAAAAGCAGAGCCAGGCAGGATTCAAACTCAGGTCCGCCTGATTCTGCGGCCTGTGCTCTCAACCACTCACCCCATGACCATCGTGGACCAAAGAAAGGCTTCCCTGAGGACAGGCTACTCCAAATCCCACTATACCCTCCTCCCCATGGCCAGGACCCCTCTCTGGTGCTAGGGATACAAACGGGACTTGGACGACAACCCCCGTTGGCCAAGCTCCCAGGTTAAGATGTGCCCACCAAGGTCTGCACAAAGGGCTGGGAGAATCACCCACGGAGACGAGATACGTGGACCAGAGCTCCAGGCAGAGAGACCTCACCTGCCTGGGAGCCACAGGCTGAGAAAGTGGCAAGGCCCTGAAACAGTGGGCAAGAAGGAATAGAAGCGCAGCGAAAACAAGGCAGACAGGGCTGTCAGGCGACCAAAGGACAAGTAACGCCGAGCCCTGAGCCAACAGATGTCAAGCCTTTCCCCTCGGGAAGAAACCCCACAGCACAGTGCCTTTGGGACCCCAGGCAGGATTCCCGGAGGGGGTGTGAGCAGGGAAACACCATCTGTACCTCAGTCACCTCATCTTTTCCTTCCCCTAAAGTCAAGGGGCTCACCGCACCCCCCGAGGAGCCCTGAGAGGGGTCTGAGCAATCAGGCTGGTGATTTGCCAGCCCAGCCCCTCGTCCCATGGATGAGGAAGGAACAGGCTTATGAGCCCTAGAGTCAGAACCCCACGGAGCAACCTTGGCCAAGCCGTGTGATCCTGCCAGCCCGGGAGCCCATCTATAAAGTCACCCAGGTCCTTGGAAGGCAGGGAGGCTTAGGTGAGAAACGTGTGTAAGGCATGGAGTAAGTGCTCAGTTAAAGCAGAAGACAAGGGAGGCCAGACCGGGTGGGTTCCCTCAGTTCCAAACCCCAGATCCTCGTTCTACTACATGACTGCCCGGGTCAAAGGCCCTCCGTGGCTGAGTCAAGTCCTGACCCCCACCACTCATGTTTCCATCCTCCCTGATTAGGAGTCAGAGGCCCTCGTTCCATCCTATAACTCAGAACCAGCTGCATGACCTCAACCAGTCCCTTCTCCCTCTGGAAACCCAGTTTCCTGACTGTTAAATGAAGGACTGGGCCCAAGTGTGTCCATATATTCCCAGCCCGGGAAAGAAAGGGATCCCAGCCCATCCCTGAGTCCACATCCCATGCCTCACTCTTCCACACCTTGACTCAGACCCTTCTGCCACCAGGAATGGTCAAAATGCTGCCCATCCTGCCGAGACAAGTATAAAGGCCCTCTCCTCCAGGAAGCCTTCCCCAGTGTCCCATCGCTACCACCTCTGGGCCGCAGAGCGCCACAGGCCTCTCCACAGGGCGTTTACAGTGCTCTAGCCCCCTTCTGCAGCACCCATCTCCACTCTGGTAATGGCTCGCTGTTCCTATGGGGAACCAGCCCTCCAGGGGTGCGCCTGTGACCGCTGTCCACTGAGGAGTGGGCGTGGGACTCCAAGTGGTCCCGGGGGATCCAATTCCGGGACTTTGGTTGGAACTACGTCGGAAACAGCCCGGTGGGACGTGAGCTAGAAGCGACCAGCGCCACCTTTACCACTGCGGGAGTCAGCCTGCAAATGACCTCCGGCCACCCTGGGTGTTCATGCCCCTCCCACGCCACCTGGGCGACCCAAAAATAGGCAGAAGGCACACTGTGTGGCGTGACCTGAGAGACACGTGGCTTCCACCTGGCCCGCACGCTGTGGGGACACTCAGGCAGCCCCGTGCCAGGGAGCCGCGGGCCCTGTGTCCCCTGTGTCCCCGGCGTCCCCGGGAGCAGCGCCCGCAGCCCTGGTCCCCGGCAGCTGGACTCCCTCTCGCCACCGCAGCCCTGGCCTGCTCCGGAGGGAGCCAGGATCGCCTCTTCTCTTCGGGAGACCGCCCCCACCCCCACACCAGGCCGTCCAGGGGCCCTCGGTGACATTTCTGCCTCACAGACCTGCGCTCAGATTCTCGCCTCAGCGCTGGCGTCTGGTCCGCTGGCCCCAGCTCTTCCAGGCTCGTCGTGGTCAGGACGGCTGCAGAGAGACCCCAGTGGAGGGGGCCCTGTCACTTTCCTCCCGGGCTGATTTTTCACACTGGGCGGGGGGTGGGTGTATTCCAACGCACCAACTCACCTCCGGCCCCTCTGCCTCCATCTCCTCCTGGCTGTGGGCTCAGGGGTGTGCCGGGATCCCCTGCTTCCCCAGCCTGGGGACATACGGACACGCTCTGGCTCCCTCCTTCACTCCACAGGCAGAAAACGGGATTCCAGAGGAGAAGGGGCTGGCTGAGGTCAGGCAATGGGTTACAAGTGACAGGATGGAATGAGGGCCTCCTAACTCCTGATCAGTGGTGGTCCTAAGGGGCGGCTTGGGGCGAGCCTCAAAGCCACTCCAAATAAACACATGTGCTAAGTAAACAGCATCTTAGCTATTAAACTCGGCTCCTCTGCACAGCGGCCCCAGCTCTGCAGAAATCCGCCGCCTGTCGCAGGTCCAAAGCCAGAACAAGGGGAGAGGACCAGCCCTGCATCATGTGGGTGGTACGCCGGCGCCCCGGAGGGCAGGGGGCTGGCTCCCATGACCCAGACGGCCCGGGCCTCTGCCAGGCCCAGGAGACGGGACTTTGGAGGAGGAAGGGGGCAGCCAGGGTCACAGGGTGTTGAGTAACAGCAGAGAATCCTAAAAGAACAGATGTGAAAGCTACTGCCCTGCCAACCAAAAGTCCTCATTTCCTTTGAAAAACTTGGCAGCTGGGCCGCACCAGCAGCCGCCTGTCCTTCCCCACACCCAGCTGCCGTGTGAACGGTTGAGGGGCAGGGAGGAAGGCCACGCTCCGCCCCACAGAGCCAAGGAAGGGGGTCACCCCCATGATGCCACGCCATGAAAATGGCAGCCACAGATCTATGTGCAGAAGAGCCAGCTCTCTTTCATTTAACACTATCACAGATGTATGAAAATCTAGGGCCTCCTGAGTGGCTCAGTCGGTTAAGCATCTGCCTCTGGCTCAGGTCATGATCCCAGGGTCCTGGGATGGAGTCCCAGGATGGGCTCCACACTAAGCAGAGAGTCTGCTTCTCCCTCTCCTTCTGCCCCTTCCCCTGCTCGTGCTCTCTCTCAAATAAATAAAAAATCTTAAAAAAAAAAAAAAAAAAAAGGAATCTAGAAGGATGTACCCAAATCTTAGGAGTTACCACTAAGTTGGCAGAATTTAATGGTTTTATTTTCATACCTATCTTCTTATTTATGACTATTTTCCAGTTTTCTCTAAAAAAATTAACTACCCGTGTTATTAAGAGACACCAGGTAAAACTACCATGAAGAAAAAAACAAGAATCAGAAAAAACAACGTCCGGAGACGAAGTTCGCCCACAGTGCCAAACTCAGCACCACTTGTAACCAGGTGAAAACGGAAGCGTGTATAATTAAAAATGCTACGACGTTAAAGCCACTGAGCATCGGCGGCCTCAGGCATCACACAAGAGGTGCGAGCAGACAATGCCAACCTCCCAGTAGAAGCCTGCAAGCATGTCTCGTCTCCAGCATGCTCCCGTGCGAACGAAACTGCATGAGATCAAGCCTCCAGATACCCCTCCCGATTCATAGGAGGTTCACGGGGGTAAGGAATGTGTTACACATGATAGGAGGCTCTACTGTAGGAAAAGGGATCTGGCTTCCAAAAACCCCCAAAATGGGGCACCTGGTGGGCTCAGCCGGTCAAGTGTCTGCTTTGGGCTCAGGTCATGATCCCAGGGTCCTGGGATCAAGTCCCACATCAGGCTCCCTGCTCAGCGGGGAGCCTGATTCTCCCTCTCCCTCTGCCATCCCCCCAACTTGTGCTCTCTCACTCTTTCAAATAAATAAAATCTCTAAAAACAAAAAAAAAACACGGCACCAGGGAGAGAGTGGATGACTATCAATCCTGTCATGCAATCTCATTATTTGGACCCACATTTTTAAAAAAAACTAAAATAGATACATATTTGGTGTGTATGGAATGATTGGAAATTTGAACTCTGCATGGACAGCTACAATCAGAGAGAACATGGTTAGGTTTCAGGTGTGGTAATAATCCTGGGGGGGGGGGGTTAGTCCTTATCTTGCAGTAATATATACTACAATTTGTCCAGATGAAGTGATCAGTCAGGAGGGGAAAGCGTGCGGGAGGAGGGAGGACTCCAGGGTGGCCGCTCAGGGATGGGTACACAGCTGCAGTCAAGTTCGTCTGCCCTCCCCCATATCCCTGTAATCCTTCCCTAGTGAAGCTGAGACCCGGTCCCTGGAAGAACTCTGGCACCTCGTCTTGTTCAAGTCTCAGCAGCGAAGGGGTCGTGGTAAGCCCCTTCCCACCGATGGGAAATGTGCCGCCCTGGGAGGGAAGGCCACTCACCCCGGGTCCCAGAGCTAGAACCTAACGACAAAACCACAAAACCAGACTCAATCCTGCTCCGGGCCCAGCCCCCAGACCACGCGGGATGAGCTCCCAACCTGAACCCCAGGCCCCTGTGCAGGAAGCATGGGGGAACTGCAGGGTCCCAGGCTCCCCGATCACCCACTCGCCGGGCAGAGGCACTCTTCCTCCATGGCCTCGGCCTCCACCCACCGCCCGCACAGGAGCTTCAAGGATTCCAGGACCAGCCAGGGAGCGACAATTAACCCCTCTCCCTGCAAAGCCCTCGTGGGAGCCCCTCCCTGTCTCATCCGCTGACCACAAAGCAGTTTCCCCTTCCCCGGGAGCCGAGCGCCCTCCGCGGCCCCAGACGCCTACCGCAAACCTGCATTGGCCGGGGGTGGGGTGGGGGTGGGGTGGGGGTGCCCCCCCTCCTAATTTACGCTACACAAAGAATCCCCAGTGCATGCAAACTCTTTGCTGCCCGCTCCTCAGAGGAATGCTCCAACCGCAAAAATACCAGCAACAACCTACATGTCCAGCAATAGGGCACCAAGAAATCCGCCAGGGCTGCTCGCGCCCCGGAGGCCGGAGGCCGGGCCAGCCTGGTGCGTCTGAGATCCCCGACGACGCACTCCCAAAGCGTGGGGGGCACGCTGGGCTGGGGGAACTTCCCTTAGAGGACAAGAAAAACATTTGTCGTGAGCAATTTGTTTTCTTATCCTTTAAAAAAAAAAAAAAAAAAAAAGCCCTCTGGAGGGATATACACCCGTATATTAATGGGTTACTTCAAAGAGTACAGATTCTGATTTTTGTCCTCACTTTATTGCTTGAGTCTTCTGATTTTTTAATAATAAATGTGATTTTTTTTCTGTAATTAACATAAAAAATTCAAGCCACTTAAAAGGAAGCTATGAGCTGCCTTTGTCCTTCTCCTGGGACCGTAATGAGAGCCTTGGCCGAGGAAGCAGAAGCAGCCTCTAAAGTTCACATCACTTCTCTGAGCCTCAGTTTCCCCATCTGTGGGGGAGACCCACCAAGTGCACTCCTCCCGCCATCCCCGTGGAGCCTGTTCCCTCCTCTGTGAGATGGGGACCGTAAGGCACACCCACAAAGCCATGGAAAGTGTCTGCCCAGCCTTGCCCTCCCCCACCCCCTGTGGACAACCAGGCCCATTTCCGACCTTTGCTCTCGGGCACCTCCTGACCCTGCATCCAGGCTGGTGGGGACCCAGGGGTATCCGAGGCCAGGCACTGGGATGAACAGTCCTCATGGCCACACATGCAGAAGTCCACCCTGCTCAAGGCTGACATGCTGAGCCCTTGAGTCCTTCTGATCGCCCTCCAGGAAGGGGGTATAACCCCATTTTACAGAGGAAGACCCAGAGGCTCAGAGGGGTAACTACCTCCCTGCACACACCAAAGCCAGATTAAGACTGCAACCTGGGGACCCTTCAGTGAGCTACTCCAACACTCTAGTCACGGGGCCAGGGGTGGGGGGAGGCGGTCAGCCATTCTGCATCCCTTTGGAAGACCCAGGCACACTGCTTAGTGCTACGGGCAGGACTGAGGGAGGACTGGGGTATGACGAGGCATATAGCTGGAAATCTGGGTTTTCGTGTAGAATCTCATAGTTTCAGATTCTGGCAACGAATCCAAAAGAAACTGTAAGCTGTTCTCCTATCAGTGCTCTGGACTTACTGCTGTGTGACCTGGAGCAACCTCTCTGGACTTCAAGTGTGTCATCTATAAAGTGGAAAAAATAACACACGTTACTGTGACAATAAGCTACACTTTGCCCCGACTAATGATAATAAAAAGCAACAGCGAACACAGTGAATGCCAGGCACCATTCTAAGTAACGTGGATGAACATCCTTTCATTCTGACCAGTAGGCATTTTTTAACTTTGTAATTTGAAATAATTTAAAACTTCTAGAAAAGTTACAAGAAAAACACAAAGAATTCCCCTACACTTTTTATGCAGATTTGCCTATTTGTGCTGTTTGGCCTCACTTTAAGATCTGTCTATATATGGGTCTCTCTGCAATATTTGAAAGGAGATTGTTTACACTGTGCCCCTCTACCCCTAAATACTTCAGTGCATGTTTCCTAAGGACAAGGACCCCTACAAATAGTTATCAGGTAATTTAACATTGATACAATGCTTTTATCTACAGTGCATATTCAATGTCGTCAACTGGCCCAATAATGTCCTGTACACGATGTTTTTTTTTCCAGCCTGGGTTCACATACTGAGTTTGGTTTGTCCTGTCCCCTTGGTCAACGTTAATCTGGAACCATTCCTCGGCCTTTGAGATAAGTATTCTTACTGCCTCCATTTCATAGATGAGAAACAAGCTCAGAGAGGTTGAAGCACTTGCCATAAGTCACACAGCTAGGAAATGTTGAGCTGAGACTCAAGCCCAAGAGGCCCCCTCCAGAGGCTGTGTTCTTGTCTGCCAGGCGTAAGACCTTGCAAATAATAGCCTTTGCTGTTAATAGCTGGAAACTGTGGTACCCTCTGCAAACAGCCAGACTACTCCCAGCCACCTCACTCAGCAGGTGGTCATTAGCTGAAGGAGTGGCCTCCTGCTGCCGGCTCCGTGCACCTGGCAATGGCCCTGGCCCAATGCCCACCACCCCAGCCCGCGGGGCTCCATTTAGCCCCCTCTATAATAAGCTGGGAGACAGAGAGGGCGGTGGAGGGCTGAGGGTGGGAGGGAACCACGGCTCCTGCCTGCCTTTTACCCCCCTCTTAAAGTGACAATTCAGGCTCAAGTGTCCATGTCCAAAACGCAGACGAAGGCTAAAGCCCCAGAACCAAAGCCTGAGGTTAAAAGGGCCCCCAGGCCAGATCCCTGACCCACAGTCCACCAGCACCGAATGCGACCCCTGAGGTCAGCTGTCCAAGAGGGGGGCAGAGCACTTTCTAAGACACCTGATGGGGTTGCATGGGAGGGAAGGGTTTACAGGAAGAAGGAACAGCAAACATGAGGGCTGGGAGGTAGGAATGGAGTTCTCTGTGCAGGGAGCAGAAAAGACGCAGGACTCGAGGGGTCATGCAGCCTGTGCTACTCAGAGAGGAGAAGGAGCCTGTGGGCTGATCCCACGTACTTGGCTTCCTCAGTGAGGACCCTCCGGGATGTGGAGTCATCAACTGCTCTCTGGGCTGGGGGCCCCTCTCCCCAGTTCTAACCCAGGCCAAGCATCAGCTTAGGAAACCACTCTCTTTGGTTCCTAAATGGGTGTGGCTCAGGACCTGGAGGCTACCGTCACCCCCGGCCCCCATCCCCCTGCCAGCCAGCCCCCATGACAAGTCTCTCCAGCCGCTGGGCTGGTGGTGAGTCACAGCTCCCCTCAGACTCACACCAGATACCAGGAAGGTCTGCAACAGACCAATTAGGATGTTGTCTTCTGCTTGAGTTCCAGGCTGTTCTGTTGGCTTTAAGGCTAATCTGTGCTGAAATATTTCAAAATCCTGGGACCTTCCCCTTGGACACCCGATTAAATTCAGAAGTTTACATCTGTCCCCAGACCAGACCCACAAACCCCGGTCCGAGCTTCAGAGGCAGAAGTTCTCTTGAAAGTTTTCCAGAGTTTTGCTTTTCTTCCTTTGAGACAATTTTGAAAATACAACAAGCATGAATGAAGAAGAAAAAGATCGATCACCAGACTCCCCCGAAGATGTCCCAATGCAGACCTCTGCCTGTCCGTCCTTCTCCAGTGTCCCGGGTGCAGGACGGGCCTGCCCTGCTGTGTGAGCCTCTCCCTACAGAGGTGTTTGGGGTCAAGGTGCCCTTAGTCTCCCCAGTGGGCTAGTGGACTCAGGAGGGCAGGGAGCATGCCTAACTCGTCTCTGTGCCCCCTGCTGAGGCTGGCCACTCAGGGCTCCCTTGCTGGAGTCAGCCACAGAGTCAGCATAAGCCCCTCTGCCCCATCAGCCATGCCTGTGAGCCCAGGTACAGAGGAAAAGGATCCAAGAGGTGGAGGTCAGCGGCAAAGCCCCAGCGCATCCTCGGGGAAAATGAGGAGCCGGAGGAAAGGAGAGGTGAGCAGGCAATGTGTTGTGCCCTTGGTGGGGGGTTTAGGGGGTCCACTTGACTCGGCCTGTTGGGGTGGGGTCCGGCTCCCAATGTGTACTCAAACAGACTTCCCCAGAACCATGCCAGAATAGGACGGGAAGACCAAGAGGCCAGGCCCTAGTCCCAGCTCCAGGTCTACCTTGTCACGAGACCTTTGAAGACCTCAGCTTTCCCACCTAAAGATGGGGTGGCCATTCCAGCCCTAAATCACAGGATCAAAAGATCTAAGGGATGTGCCGTGGCTTCGTAAGCCATCTGGCCTCAGAAATCAGAGGGCTCCCACCTCTCCCTGCCCCCCCCACCCGCCATAAAAGGCCCAAGAGCAACCTCTCTCTGACGCCTAAGAGCGTCAAGAGCTGAGGGAAGAGGACCCCGCATGTGGATCCTGAACATTGAGCCCTGGGGGAGGCAGCGGCCCACCCCGGCTCCCCTGATGCAGCAGGCCACTCCTGTGGGGCCTCCTTGCTACACCCGGGGTCTACACCACACAAGCTCCCCGCTACTATGAGGGCAGCTGCCCACGTGTCAAAGCAGGGCCTCACAGAGCCCCAAAGCCCTGCCTGCCGAGCCCCCAGCCTCGTGCCCTGAGACCAGCGCAGGCCTGTGGCCATCCATCCACACCCCAGTTGAGCATCACTCTGGACCAGGTCTGAGGGCGCTTCAGCACGCCGGGGGCTGGTCCGGGTCCGGCCCTTCTGGGCACAGCCCCACCACCCGGGGCAACTGTGCTCCCCCCTGAAAGGCTCCAATTCTAGTAACGGGCCCTAAAGTCTCATTTCCAGCGTTGACTCTGGGACTCAGAAAGAACATGAGTTCTTGGCCTCTGGGGGAGGGGACCCAAGATAGAAACCTTCACACCCCACCGAGAAAGGCTCCAGCCTCTCTCGGCCAACCAGGGTCGGCTACCACCACCATTACCCGTTTCCTTCAGGTGTAAGGGTTAGGTTTCAGGTTTCGCCCCCTGGGGATCTAAGTCAGGGGCCAGCGCCTTGCTCTCTCTCCCATCCCCCTCTCCCGCAACCGGCGAGGGGTCCTGCTCAGCCCGGGCTGTGGTTGGACTGCCTCCAACCCCAACCCCTGGTCTGGCCCTCACTGAGCCTTCTCCCCTTGAGGTATTATTGTTACTTGCAATACATCTACTGGCCCCCTTGTCCAAGTCTGGGAAACCGAACCAGCCAGCCCCTCTGGACCATCACAGGCCAACAAGCTTAACAGCGTTGGTCCGCAGGCCACCGGCCCGGGGTGCAGGCGGGGGAGGGCACAGAGCCGCGTCCCTCCCGCAGGTCTCAG